AGCTTTTCAAGCATGTTCTCAGAGCTCTTCCAAAGTGGTTCAAGCAAACTGTTTAAACAGAGTTTAAAAAATCAACCCATGCTTGGAAATGGAAAAACATTAAGCTTCCATGGGCCTTTTCCATTCCTGCACAGCATGAGATTCATGCATATGTCTCTCCAGTACGTCCACCCTTGTGATTATATACTGCTACACCAAGCCAACTGTAGATTATATAACAAACAAGATCTTATGTTAGACAGAAAAGTGTCCCACAGGTGTATGAGACTGCTAAGCTACAGAGAGGCACAGTTGTTAATTAGTACATGATTTCTTATTTATTTACCCAGGTATTGTATATTACATAGAACAGCATAAGCAAAGGTCACACTTAATTTCTTGCTGTTGTTGTGTGCCATTAAGTTGTAACCAAATTACAATGACACTAATAGAGCTCTGAAAGCAAGTGAAATATTTAAAGAATGTTTTAACCAGTTCTATGCCCCCAGTGAGTTTCCATGAGTGAACAGAGATTTGAACCCAGGACTCTTGAGTCCTAGTCGATCATTCTGTTCACTACACCATACTGGGTATCCTTAAAAAATTATTCATTTAATATTCTTAATAGCATCTGAAAAGCTCAATTTCTTTTCCTCAGAAATATTAACCTAAGTTAAATGAGTTAGCACAGAATCAATCTCCAGCTTGAAATGACAATAGCACAAGGGTTGGAAAAGTTACTTTTTCAGATTGCAACTGAAATCCCGCCTCAGTTACTATGCTGGCTGGAGGAGTCTGGGAACTGCAGTCCAAAAGTAATAACTATTCCAAGTTCTGGCCTATTATTTTAGTATACGAGGAGGGGGGTGCTGACAAGTATTGAGCCCTACCCAGAAAAAATTGAGCTAGGAAGCTATAAATTGCAGGGTGTATTGGCCAATTGGTCTGTATTCAATGGTGCAAGAATCAACTACTTATGATTTTAACTGATCTTTCCTGTTCAGCTCCAAAGTGAACATGGCAGCACCTCCAGAAAAGTTCAATGTGGAAGACCATAGGACCATAATCAAGTTTCTCCTGTTTCTCCAAGAGAAAGGTGCAAAGCAGATCCATGAGGAAATGTCACAAACTATGGGTGACAATGGCCCTTCATATGCAACAGTTAAACGTTGGGTTGTCAATTTTAAAATTGGCCATTTCGGTGTTGAAAGCGAGAAACCCAGTGGAAGGCCAGTTCCTGTCTCTGTGCCTGCAAATGTGAAAGTCATCCACGACATGATCATGGAGGACCGCTGAATATCAGCCAAAGGTATTGCTATATATCTGAGAAGATCACGTGAGAGAGTTGGTGCCATTATCCACAATGACTTGGAAATAAGAAAGCTGGCAGCAAAGTGGATCCCCAAACTTTTGACAAC